CCCTTCCCCCCCCGGTATGAACCTCTGTAGGGAGCTGGTGAACAGCAGCAGGCAGTCATCACGGAGGGGTTTCCAGGGCGCGATTGCAACCTTGCATATAGCCAGCTACAACTTTATTTTCTTTACGTCCCCTCCCCCTCTCCCCCCCTTCCTTTTTTCAGGGAAAGGGAGAAAGGAGGAGGGAGGGAATATTGTATTTGCCTCCTTTACTAACCGTAATTGAATTAAAGTTGTAAAATGCCTGGGAGTTTAATACTGATCGGGCAGGTTTTCAATGGCTTTTTTTTTTTTCTCCCCTCCGAAGATCTGTCAGTTGATGGATGAATGGATCCGATCGAGCTGAGAAAGAATATGCTAGATACATGCCTTTGAGTAAGATTTCTGCTGCCTTTATGCAGCGAAGCCTTTTGCTTTGAGTAATTCCGATCCAGTTGACGTCTGGTCAGAATTAGAGAGAGATTCGCTGAGACTTCCAATTTCTTGCTGCATGACTGCCTTTGCTGCAAGTGCTAGATTTGCAGCCTTGAACCTGATGCCACAGGAGATGTCTTGCAGCACTGAGACTTCCCATTTTTTAGGATGTGTTCCCCTAAACGAGAGTTCTAGCATGAGGATTGGAACTCTGAGGTGGATGATAGAAAATGCAAGCATTTAAGCCTGGATGATTTATTAGTCTTCCCCTACCGACACACGTAATGCATTTATTTTCCCTGTTCATACTGCCTTTAGACTAGTAGAAGAAAGCCACAAGGAGTCAGAAAGACTGCAAGAAGGAATGGAAACGGGATTTGTTTCCAGCTAGGTGAAATTTGGTATTAATTACTGATGTAGGTCAATGGTAGAGTTTCCCTTCCACCCCCCTTGGCTTTTAATCAGCCTGGGTGTCTTCTTCCTGAAAGGATGAAGAGTACTGACAGCCATCGCTGCTTATAATCAGTAACTCTGATGCTTGAAGTGTTGGCAATGAGCTATTTCCATGAGACCTATTTAGATCTCTCCACTTCTACCAGGCTAGTTTTGCAGAACGTTGGGAATAAGCGATATGTCAGATATGGCTGAGGCTCCGAAGATGATCTGCATGTTTTACATTTTTCACAAATTTTGGGTGAGTGATTAAAACATTTTCTTTGTGTGTGTGTGTGTGTGTGCATGCGTGTGTGTAGGAACTGAAGACCTCTGCTTGATAGTCAGCTCTGTTACATTGTATGTAACTCATGGGGGGGTGTGTGTCATAAAATCAATTAAAATTATTTGCTTGCGTAAAGATACAAAATTGCTCTCACTGAAGAGAGCTGAAGTGCACTGAAGTAGGAGGTTAGCGTATTTAATCCCATTACTGAAGAATTCCACCGCAGAAGTCATCTAGGGGATGTGTGTGTGTGTGTGTGTGTGTGTGAATGCGCGCGCAGGCATGTGTGTGTGTGCGTGTGTGTGCGCCTGCTTCTGTGGGTGGGTGTGGGCTTTGTAAATGTATAGACAGAAAAAAAACCCTCCCATAAAACAGTTTTAAGAAATGGGTGATGTGGAGAATGTGTCAGTGTTCTCTCTGTTGCATTAAGCTGCTGTTTCCATCACTGAGCATTTTTCTTTGGATTCCAACCATGGCATTTCCACCACCGGTTAAAAATCAAGGTAGAAGGAGGGGAAGACCTTTGTGCGCTGTTCACTGGGGAGGTTCTGAAGGGAAGGGGGAGCTGGGAAATAGGGGAGGTGGGAAACCTCGTAAAATGGTGCTTCTTTTCTCTTAAATTAGAACCATGAAACTGAACTGACAGCCATTTTATGTATATTTATGGGGCTGGTTGTGAAAAAGAAATCCAAGGAAGCATTGAAATGCACCCCACAGGAACAGAACCAGAACAATTCCTACCGCGACCTCACCTTTTTAAACACTGCAGGCATTTGACTCACTAGTAGTTGTCCATCAACCTTTTAATCAATGCATGCTATCCAGTTTTCGAAAGTGTGGGAATTAGAAGTGACAGGAGTTTTTTTTTGTTTGATTAACAATCAATTCTCTACCCCACTGAAGACGTATATAAACTTTGTGTCCGTTTTAAATTCTGTGGGTCTGTGTTATTATGCTGCTTTCTTTTTTTCTCCTTACCCTTACAGGAAATAAAATGTATGCTTGCTGCTCTGCAGTAGCTTTGGAACAGGACCTCAACAAAAAAATGCATATCTGGATGCTGCAGACGATCGCATTTGCTTTAACATCGCTAGTTCTTTCGTGGGCAGAAAGCATCGAGTATTATGGGGAAATCTGTGATAACGCATGTCCTTGTGAGGAGAAGGACAGCATCCTAACAGTGAGCTGTGAAAACAGAGGAATCATCAGCCTTTTTGAGATCAGTCCACCAAGGTTCCCCGTCTACCATCTCTTGTTGTCTGGGAACCTTTTGAACAGGCTGTACCCGAACCAGTTTGTCAATTATACAGGAGCTTCAATTTTGCATCTGGGGAGCAATGACATACAAGACATCGAAACGGGGGCCTTTCATGGTCTGAGAGGTTTAAGGAGGCTGCACCTGAACAATAACAAGCTGGAACTTTTACGAGATGACACTTTCCTTGGGCTAGAGAGTTTGGAATACCTACAGGTTGATTATAATTATATTAGCATCATTGAACCCAATGCCTTCAGCAAGCTGCATTTGCTGCAGGTGCTAATTCTCAATGATAACCTCCTCTCCAGTCTGCCCAACAACCTTTTCCGTTTTGTGCCCTTAACTCACCTGGACCTGAGGGGTAACCGGCTGAAGCTGTTGCCCTATGTGGGCCTTTTGCAGCACATGGATAAAGTAGTGGAGCTGCAGTTGGAGGAAAACCCCTGGAATTGCTCCTGTGAGTTGATTGCTCTGAAGGATTGGCTGGACAGTATCTCCTACTCTGCTCTGGTGGGAGATGTGGTTTGTGAGACCCCTTTCCGCTTACATGGTCGAGACTTGGATGAAGTCTCCAAGCAGGAGCTTTGCCCCAGAAGGCTCATCTCGGATTACGAAATGAGACCACAGACACCACTGAGCACCACAGGGTATTTCCACACTACCCCGGCTTCAGTCAACTCCGTGGCCACTTCTTCTTCAGCTGTTTACAAATCCCCCTTGAAGCCCCCCAAAGGCACCCGCCAGCCCAACAAGACGAGGGTGCGCCCCACCTCCCGCCTGCCCTCGAAAGACCTGGGATACAGCAACTACGGCCCCAGCATTGCCTACCAGACCAAATCCCCGGTGCCTTTGGAGTGCCCCACTGCCTGCACTTGCAACTTGCAGATTTCTGACCTGGGCCTCAATGTCAACTGTCAGGAGAGGAAGATTGAGAGCATTTCTGAACTGCAGCCTAAACCCTATAATCCTAAGAAGATGTATCTGACAGAAAACTACATTGCTCTGGTACGCAGGGCAGATTTTGTGGATGCTACTGGGCTGGATTTGCTGCACCTGGGCAATAATCGGATCTCGGTCATTCAGGACCGGGCTTTTGGGGATTTAACTAATTTGCGAAGGCTGTACCTGAATGGGAACCGTATCGAGCAGCTGAGCCCAGAGCTGTTTTATGGGCTGCAAAGCCTGCAGTACCTCTTCCTGCAGTACAACGTCATCCGGGAGATAGAGGCGGGCACCTTTGAACCTGTCCCCAACCTTCAGCTCTTGTTTTTGAACAACAATCTGCTGAGGTCTTTGCCGGGGAACATATTTTCTGGTCTGTCTCTCTACAGGCTGAGCCTGCGGAGCAACCACTTCTCCTACCTGCCAGTGAGCGGAGTGCTGGACCAGCTGAAATCCCTGCTGCAGATCGACCTGCACGAGAACCCCTGGGACTGCACGTGCGACGTGGTGGGCATGAAGCTGTGGCTGGAGCAGCTCAACACCGGTGTCCTGGTGGACCAGGTCATCTGCGAGTCCCCTAAGAAGTTTGCCCAGAGCGACATGCGGGCCGTCCGGGCGGAGCTGCTGTGCCCCGACTACTCGGACATCGTGGTCTCCACGCCCAC